TTGACAGACAGCTGAGTCCTTGTTAAAATATTGGAACCAAATTGCTTGCCACGGCTATCAAACTGCAAAAGAGAAAAGACTACAGTGCAGCTGCTATTTTCCTTATTTATTCAATTTTCAACAATAGAAATATGATCAGTCTTTTCTAATGATTAGTTGATTAAAATGACTGAAAAAAAATTTGGGGTGCCCGAGCTCGTTAGTGAGCTATAGCCATTTTTCAACTGACAGAACTCAATACCAAGGCAAATCCGCCATGTTTTCAATGTGCGCATGCACGAACGCGCGCTAATGACGCCATAAATTATGCACTGTAAGGATGCGCAATGCAAATGTGAGGAATCACCTTAATTAACTAATTGTTCCATTTGCCTGCCAACTTACCATAAATGTTTTCTACCTGTAATCGTTTCATGCCTATTCACTATCAAAATTTATCATATAAGTTTAATAAATTTTGTTAAAATATGTGAAGTTTAATATTTTTACACTGCTTCACAAGAATGTTACAATGATAGTGAACAGTAAAGTGGTACAAAAAAGGAAGAAAAAACAGTGCGTTAGACGGACAAGCGTCACTAACGTGTGATGTCTCCTTGGCTAAGCTTAAGTCTTCGAATTAAGCTATCTTTATCTTGTATTCTAGTTATACAATCTTGGTTTACGACAAGACCAACTTTTTCTCTTGTTTCTCTGCTAGCACTGAAAAATGATACTACACCTTTTGCTGTTCATTTACAGAAAATATCCATTCATTTGAGTCCAGATTTGTTTCATTATGGTCAATATACTCGCATTAACACCAATATGACCTTCATTTGCGCGTAAGGAACGTTCAAGAATAACACTTGCATATGCATTAACATTGAAATACATCAAAAGATAAACAATACCTTCCCTTGACATTCATTGGCTGTAACTGTATTTTCATTTTTGTCGAAAAAAAATTCGTTGTCACGAAACGACAATCATTTACACTTTTGGGCAATCCTTTTTCAACAAAAGACTTTCAGTAACAGAATTTGCATGAGCACTCACAATCAATTGCATTATTAAACAACCATATCCATGAAGGTGACAATCTTAAGTGCGGTGAGACAAACATTACAGCCATAATAACGTTTATTTTTGGAAGAGAGAATGTCAAATTTGCTGAACAATTTATCTCTCAATTGCCTCACTATTGAGGCATCGTGGCAAATATATTTGCATGAAACGATACCATTGTCCACATCAAGGCCCTGATTATCCTTTCGCTGTGTTCAAATGGGATTCTATTTCTTCGTGGCATTTGTGGGGAAATCTAACTGTTACTTTATCACATGTATACTGTAGTGCGCCCTCTGAGTTGTGGGAAAAAGGTTCGTAAGAGGCTGAATTTACATATATCTGCAAGGGGAGGATTGTGGAAATACGATTTAAAAAAAGGTACATACGGTCCCTAGTTCTATAATCAAATTTTCGAGGAAAATTGGGCGCGATATCTCTGTTCAAAAAAATTACGCTAATGAGCTATTGTTTTCTCTAAACGTTAGGTGAAAACACGGTAACGTCTGTCTCACTACACTTAAGACTGTCACCTTCACGGATATGGTTGTATAATAATGCAATTGATTGTGAGTGCTCATGCAAATTGTGTTATTGAAAGTATTTTCTTGAAAAAGGATTGTCCAAAAATGTAAATGATTGTCCTTTCGTGACAACGAATTTTATTTCGACGAAAACGAAAATACATCTACAGCCAATGAATGTCAAATGAAGATATTGTTTATCTTTTGATGATTTTGAATGTTAATACCTATGCAAATGTTATTCTTGAACGTTCGTTACGCGCAAATGAATGTCATATTGGTGATAATGAGAATATATTAACCATAATGAAACAAATTTGAACACAAATGAATGGATATTTTCTGTAAATGTACAGCAAAAGGTGTACTTGCAGCCGACTTTGACAAAGAACACAAAAATACACAAGTCTTTCTCTATATAAGTAGACTATAACAGAATTCCTATTTTGCAGGATCGTATATCTTCATTGAAACTTCTCAGAAAAACCCCGGAGACAAGGCGAGGTTGTTAAGTGACGATCTTGAACCCAGTGAAAACGTTTGTGTTCAGTTTTGGTATCACATGCATGGTTCAGATACTGGCAACCTGAGCATCTATGTCAAAACTAACCAATCAGAAACACTCGTCTGGAGGCTGTCAGGAGATCAAGGAAACCGTTGGAGATTTGGACAGACGGCTCTGAATAGTCCGAGTTCATATAAAGTAAGTTCGGGTGGCTACCTGTAAATATTGAACGTTACCCTCACGTTGGAATGGAAAGTAACGTGAACATTTTTGTCTAATTTATTAAAAAAGCCTCCAATTAGTTACGGTGATATTGTAGTTTGGTGGATCAGTCATTTATAAAATGGCTAGAACACTCTGTTATCAAGTAATTTTGTTCCAATTTATCTAAAAAGGTTTCTGCTAGGAAACGTTCTATCTGAATTAATGAACTATTGACATTTTTTGTTTGTATTTCGGTTAGTTTGTAATAGAAGGAACAGTCGGTAATGGCAGTAAAGGTGATATTGCAGTGGATGACTTAACGGTGATGGATGGAGTATGTGATGAAATTATAAAACAGGGTAAGTTGTTAAAACGTAAACCACAAATAGATAATTCCTTAATTCCAGGTTTGGCAAATCACATTAGATTAAAGAGCGATCGTTTGTTGGCAGCTCCAATCACTTTGCAGTATTCCCACTGATCATGAACACCCCAGTGTCTAGTACCCTCGCAAATGCTGACTCTGAAAAGGTATTTGTCTCTCCCGCCCCTCTCCCCCGACGGCAGCAGTAACGATTTTTGGTGTCATTTTCCAGCAAGTCCAGACTGCGAATTTGAAGAGAGTATGTGCGACTGGGATGCTGAACAGGGATGGGTTCTGAAAATACGCTTAGAGAGATTTGAAACTTCCGGTAAGATGTTGTCTACATATGCTGTTTTCCTTAGTCACAAGGTATTAATGTAGTTGTATGTTTTCAACATATTCATCTCAAGGGTGTTTTAGTATTCAAGTATGAAAAATAACCGAACACGAAGGTGATGACTCCATCAACTTGAAGTTCAAGATGAGTAAAGTAAAAAATTGCAAGATTCGTTTCTGATTAGATACTAGTGGCAGAAATTACCTTATTGCAGTGAGCACGCTAAGGGCCGATTTACACGGTACGACTTTATCGCATGCGACAAGCTTACGACGGACCTACGACATGACTTAAGACCATTTACACGCGCTCGACATTTTCACTTACAAAATTAAATATGCAAAAGTTTGCACCTGGATTTTCGGAGTGGAAGTTCTAACAAACAGCAAAAAAATAGTTTAGCTGTCCTGCGCTTTGAAAAGACTTTCTAAAGAGATGTTTTTCGCTTTAATCTGTTCAATACTTTTCGAGAAACGTCTTCATCTGAATCAGTCAACAACACGTTGTCCGCCATTTTGTCGCAAGGAAACTTCACCTCGTCCCCTGCTCAATAGGAATTTGTCACAAAATACGTCATTTTCTAACGACTTCGGCTACGATTCTCGCAGCGTTTTAAAACATGTTTTAAAATCCTACGACATTTTTTTGACGTACACAACAGTCGTAAGCGAGTTGTAGGTTTGATTTACACGAAAACAGTTCATGTCGTAGGCCTGTCGTAAGCTTGTCGTATGCGACAAAGTCGTACCGTGTAAATCGACCCTAACGGAGAATGCATAAATAAGTTTTAAAAAAAATAAACGAGAAGCGTTTGTTGATCCCCGTAGATAAGAGAAAACAAGGTAAGAGTTTTTGTGTGTTCTGAGATTTTGGTATTTTCAGTGCGTTAGTGAACAGAAAGTCCCAGTCTGTGCCCAGCGTCTACTTTTCAAATTTCTTCGTGTAAATTAATTCACCTTTTACAACTCATTTCAATTTCGTATTTGCAGCACAACAGTGTCCTTAGAAGTTGCTCTCTTTGTGAATAAAAAAAAAATTGTTTTGTTTCAAACAATGATGAGACAGGTTGATTCTTGACGAATAGTACGATAATTAATGAATATGAGTCAGAGGAAAATGGGCCCTAAATTAGGAACTGCGGCAGACATGTCTATCAAAACTGATAGACACGCTTGGCTAATTGAAATCAGTGTTTCTTAAAACGCGTGGTAAGATTTAACTATTGCACCGTGTTACCTTCTGTTATCAGGTGGATTCGTTGCCTCTCTTCCTGCTGGAGCATCTGACTCGCGTTCCTCCCTCTCATCTCCCGTCATCAACGTCCATTACTACGAATGGAAGTGTTTACGTTTCTGGTATTTCATTGGCGCTACTGATGCTCGAGACTGGTATACAACGTCGTTGATGTTGTTACTGAGGACAGTGACATCAAACCAAGCAATGGTGCTTTTTTTTGCGGATGAAGTGACAGATAAAGCGCGGTATACACAGATACCCTTATCGAGAAATTCCACTAACTCACAGGTATTAAGAAACCTCTAACTTACTTACTGGTCGTACACCAAGTAAAATATGATTGTTTACTTCTCTTGCATAGCTGAAGTGAGAGATTTTCGAAAAATGTACGTTATGTCATTTACTCGTAATACCTTAAATTGTCAATTTTCTTTCAATGATTGCTTCTAAACCAGTTTCTATTTAACAATTATTCGCCGAAGGCGAAGTGACCGTTGGTGAATATTTACCGAGACGAAGTCGAGGTAAATGCTCACCAATTTCACTGCGCATGAGGCGAATAATTGATTTAGTATAATTTAATAATATAATTAGAGGTCAATATCAAGAACTGCAAAATAACAGACTAAAACATAAAAACACAGACGCAATTGTTCGTTTACCTACACGTATGCAGCCGTAGTTTTAATAATAATCTTACATCTAAGCTGACATCGAATGTGAATCAATTTACACATCGAGTTCGGCAGTAACACAAGCAACTGAAACAGTACGAAAAATAAATTCATCCGGTACCTTTGTTACATCGTTGTTGACTTCATTCACAGTTGTCGTCATCGTCTCAAAATAAGTAGCTTCAGTTTGAAGAGAAATGAATTTCGGTCACTCGAACTGACCTGCTGGCGATAAACAACTGTGATTGTCATTCTTAAATGCCTTGAATACGAGTTCTTGAAAAGATTTTTGGTCCAAGAGCAACAACAGTCATACTGAAAATTTTCCATGCTTTCAAATACAGTGAAACCTGCATTAAGCAGACACCCTTGGGACCCTCACTTGTGTCCGCTTAATACATGATGTCCGATCTAAGCAGGTTCTAATATGTTGTGCAACAATAGTTAGCTGTTAACTCTTTTGTATCACACTAACACACTGTAAGATCAAACACTGCTCATAGGAGAATGTCCAGTCAGTCAATGCATCAATCTGGATTAATCACTTACCTTTAAAACGACATCGCTTAAAGAATAACATCATTTAAAGATTTTAAGACAGTCATAAAGAAAATGAACTTTTAGTAGTAGTTATATTTATTGTATTAGTAGTAGTTTCAATTATTGTATTTGGATCATTTAATTGATTTATGTATTTTTATTTTATTTTATTCTTTCTCGAAGATGTTAGCTCAATAGAGCTACTCTGATAATTCGAGTTGAAATAAAATGTATGTATGTATGTATCGCTGGATAATGTTAAAGGAGTCTCAGCTGAACTTTTAGAAGTAAAATGCCCTTGAAGTTTCCGCTTAATGCAGGTTTTGTGCAACAAAATAGCTTAATATTGGTGTCCGCGTCTGCTTAACAGGGGTGTCCGCTGAATGCAGGTTTATTTTACAGTAATTGTGGGAAGGAAATTTTAGGACTTAAGCTGGTGTCCACTTAATAGAGGGTGTCCGCTTAATATGGGGTCCGCTTAATACAGGTTTCACTGTATCCTGGACTTGAAGTGATGTCTTTGGAATATACGAAAATTTGATGCGGCAACTGTCCGCCATGTTTACTTGCCGAGATGGCAAAGGTGGCTAGCTTAGTAACCAAGCGCGGAAATGTTATATTCACCGCCTAGCGCGATGAATAAAGCGTCATAAGCCAAGTTTTTCGACCAATCGGAATGTCCCATTCTTATATTCACCTCTGGAAATTATACTAATACCCATCATCCATTGAGTAAGTAGATATTAATTGCAGTAGATCTACCTTACTTTGGCCAGCACTTATGCACCTTTATGATTTTCCTGGTATGTGATATAGATTTTTTTTGAGGGCTTCAATGAGTTACCTGGTGGACAGTTTTTAGCCATTGATGACGTTTCCTTCTCCAAAGAGCCATGTAAACAAATTCCTTGGAAACAAGATGGAGGTAAGATTGAAATAAGACCCTTTTTTAACGAATGAGTTTCCCAGCAATCGATTGGTAATATTTCTTTATTACTTCTGGTATAGCCTAGTTTGTTTGTTTCTTTTTTATATCATTATTTTCTTTACCTGCGCCTTGAACAGGCAGGCTAGTTTTCCATGAAATGTACTTTTCCTTAAAATGTTTCAATTATTTAGAATGCCGAAAAGATCTCGGCATGGAAAACAGTGCGATCTCTGACAGACAAATTACTGCCTCTTCGCAACTGGATGCCAATCACGCTGCCATCCAAGGCAGACTAAACTTTAAAGCAACGGCAAACAAAGCAGGCTCTTGGTCAGCTGGCAGCAATGATTCCAGTCAATGGCTGCAGGTTGATCTGGGCAGTCAGCACACTAAAGTGACACTTGTAGCAACTCAAGGTAGTGACGATTCACCACAGTGGGTAACCAAGTACAAACTGCAGTACAGTAACGACGGANCGCCTCAAACTACAGTCAATACTTGTGTCGGACACAAATAAACTTTTTAAGTTTGATTTTGACAGACAGCTGAGTCCTTGTTAAAATATTGGAACCAAATTGCTTGCCACGGCTATCAAACTGCAAAAGAGAAAAGACTACAGTGCAGCTGCTATTTTCCTTATTTATTCAATTTTCAACAATAGAAATATGATCAGTCTTTTCTAATGATTAGTTGATTAAAATGACTGAAAAAAAATTTGGGGTGCCCGAGCTCGTTAGTGAGCTATAGCCATTTTTCAACTGACAGAACTCAATACCAAGGCAAATCCGCCATGTTTTCAATGTGCGCATGCACGAACGCGCGCTAATGACGCCATAAATTATGCACTGTAAGGATGCGCAATGCAAATGTGAGGAATCACCTTAATTAACTAATTGTTCCATTTGCCTGCCAACTTACCATAAATGTTTTCTACCTGTAATCGTTTCATGCCTATTCACTATCAAAATTTATCATATAAGTTTAATAAATTTTGTTAAAATATGTGAAGTTTAATATTTTTACACTGCTTCACAAGAATGTTACAATGATAGTGAACAGTAAAGTGGTACAAAAAAGGAAGAAAAAACAGTGCGTTAGACGGACAAGCGTCACTAACGTGTGATGTCTCCTTGGCTAAGCTTAAGTCTTCGAATTAAGCTATCTTTATCTTGTATTCTAGTTATACAATCTTGGTTTACGACAAGACCAACTTTTTCTCTTGTTTCTCTGCTAGCACTGAAAAATGATACTACACCTTTTGCTGTTCATTTACAGAAAATATCCATTCATTTGAGTCCAGATTTGTTTCATTATGGTCAATATACTCGCATTAACACCAATATGACCTTCATTTGCGCGTAAGGAACGTTCAAGAATAACACTTGCATATGCATTAACATTGAAATACATCAAAAGATAAACAATACCTTCCCTTGACATTCATTGGCTGTAACTGTATTTTCATTTTTGTCGAAAAAAAATTCGTTGTCACGAAACGACAATCATTTACACTTTTGGGCAATCCTTTTTCAACAAAAGACTTTCAGTAACAGAATTTGCATGAGCACTCACAATCAATTGCATTATTAAACAACCATATCCATGAAGGTGACAATCTTAAGTGCGGTGAGACAAACATTACAGCCATAATAACGTTTATTTTTGGAAGAGAGAATGTCAAATTTGCTGAACAATTTATCTCTCAATTGCCTCACTATTGAGGCATCGTGGCAAATATATTTGCATGAAACGATACCATTGTCCACATCAAGGCCCTGATTATCCTTTCGCTGTGTTCAAATGGGATTCTATTTCTTCGTGGCATTTGTGGGGAAATCTAACTGTTACTTTATCACATGTATACTGTAGTGCGCCCTCTGAGTTGTGGGAAAAAGGTTCGTAAGAGGCTGAATTTACATATATCTGCAAGGGGAGGATTGTGGAAATACGATTTAAAAAAAGGTACATACGGTCCCTAGTTCTATAATCAAATTTTCGAGGAAAATTGGGCGCGATATCTCTGTTCAAAAAAATTACGCTAATGAGCTATTGTTTTCTCTAAACGTTAGGTGAAAACACGGTAACGTCTGTCTCACTACACTTAAGACTGTCACCTTCACGGATATGGTTGTATAATAATGCAATTGATTGTGAGTGCTCATGCAAATTGTGTTATTGAAAGTATTTTCTTGAAAAAGGATTGTCCAAAAATGTAAATGATTGTCCTTTCGTGACAACGAATTTTATTTCGACGAAAACGAAAATACATCTACAGCCAATGAATGTCAAATGAAGATATTGTTTATCTTTTGATGATTTTGAATGTTAATACCTATGCAAATGTTATTCTTGAACGTTCGTTACGCGCAAATGAATGTCATATTGGTGATAATGAGAATATATTAACCATAATGAAACAAATTTGAACACAAATGAATGGATATTTTCTGTAAATGTACAGCAAAAGGTGTACTTGCAGCCGACTTTGACAAAGAACACAAAAATACACAAGTCTTTCTCTATATAAGTAGACTATAACAGAATTCCTATTTTGCAGGATCGTATATCTTCATTGAAACTTCTCAGAAAAACCCCGGAGACAAGGCGAGGTTGTTAAGTGACGATCTTGAACCCAGTGAAAACGTTTGTGTTCAGTTTTGGTATCACATGCATGGTTCAGATACTGGCAACCTGAGCATCTATGTCAAAACTAACCAATCAGAAACACTCGTCTGGAGGCTGTCAGGAGATCAAGGAAACCGTTGGAGATTTGGACAGACGGCTCTGAATAGTCCGAGTTCATATAAAGTAAGTTCGGGTGGCTACCTGTAAATATTGAACGTTACCCTCACGTTGGAATGGAAAGTAACGTGAACATTTTTGTCTAATTTATTAAAAAAGCCTCCAATTAGTTACGGTGATATTGTAGTTTGGTGGATCAGTCATTTATAAAATGGCTAGAACACTCTGTTATCAAGTAATTTTGTTCCAATTTATCTAAAAAGGTTTCTGCTAGGAAACGTTCTATCTGAATTAATGAACTATTGACATTTTTTGTTTGTATTTCGGTTAGTTTGTAATAGAAGGAACAGTCGGTAATGGCAGTAAAGGTGATATTGCAGTGGATGACTTAACGGTGATGGATGGAGTATGTGATGAAATTATAAAACAGGGTAAGTTGTTAAAACGTAAACCACAAATAGATAATTCCTTAATTCCAGGTTTGGCAAATCACATTAGATTAAAGAGCGATCGTTTGTTGGCAGCTCCAATCACTTTGCAGTATTCCCACTGATCATGAACACCCCAGTGTCTAGTACCCTCGCAAATGCTGACTCTGAAAAGGTATTTGTCTCTCCCGCCCCTCTCCCCCGACGGCAGCAGTAACGATTTTTGGTGTCATTTTCCAGCAAGTCCAGACTGCGAATTTGAAGAGAGTATGTGCGACTGGGATGCTGAACAGGGATGGGTTCTGAAAATACGCTTAGAGAGATTTGAAACTTCCGGTAAGATGTTGTCTACATATGCTGTTTTCCTTAGTCACAAGGTATTAATGTAGTTGTATGTTTTCAACATATTCATCTCAAGGGTGTTTTAGTATTCAAGTATGAAAAATAACCGAACACGAAGGTGATGACTCCATCAACTTGAAGTTCAAGATGAGTAAAGTAAAAAATTGCAAGATTCGTTTCTGATTAGATACTAGTGGCAGAAATTACCTTATTGCAGTGAGCACGCTAAGGGCCGATTTACACGGTACGACTTTATCGCATGCGACAAGCTTACGACGGACCTACGACATGACTTAAGAC